AGCAGTATTCATAGAGACACCAGACCTATGACTCAACTAGGAAGATCACAGAAGTTCTCCTTAATGTTCTTATCATGTCAGTCATTATTTGCTTCATAGGAAAACAATGATTATTAACTGTAATCATGCCTAGCAGCTGTTCCTGTATGAAAACTCTAATCTTTGTGTCTAATTCTGTACACCTTCTCTCTCAGATCCTTGCTCACCAGATGTATCTTTTAATTTATCTGTTACATCTATTGTCTATCATGTACTGCATATATAAAACAGTCATCTTTTCAATTTCTTTGCTTTTTCACAGCATATGCATTGACGGCCTATGTGTTTTATCTTCGGACAGTTTGATGTACAGTTCAAATCTGTTTTGGTGTAAGATTGTAATGTGTATTCTGTGTTTCTATATTTCCTTTCAATGGCTTTAATGTTTTCATGGCTATGGGTTTTATCTTTCTGTCTACCTAACAACTCAACTTATATTTTTTATTTTGCATAATTTTGTCCTTGTCTGTTGTTTTTCTCTATATAAGTCCAGTGTCCGAGTGCCCATTTTACTCCGTTTATTATTTTTCTATTGGTTATGATATCTGACTTTCTTCCCGTAGGAAGATAACAGGAATGACAAAGAAGGGTGACTCACAATTAAGAAGGAATGAAAGGGACAGATTTTAGCAATCCGGTAGGTTTTATCTTACTGGGCTTTTCTGACAAGCCCCAGCTGGAGACAGTCCTCCTTCTGGTTGTCTCTACCATATACATTCTGACACTGGTGGGGAACGCAGCGCTCATACTGGTCTCCAACTTGAACCCCGAGCTCCACATGCCCATGTACTTCTTCCTGTCAAAGGAAGAACGTCACCTTCATCACCTTCCCTAATCTCTCCTTCCTGGACCTCTGCTTCGCCACCAGCATCGTTCTGCACATGCTGTGGAATCTCGAGGGTCCTGAGAAGATCATCAGCTACCCTGGCTGTGTGATCCACCTCTGCGCTGCCCTGGGGCTGGGCTCCACGGAGTGCGTGCTCCTGACTGCGACGGCCTACGACCGCTTCAGTGCCATCTGCCAACCACTGTCATGTCGCCATGCACCCGAAGCTTCTCCAGCACCTGGATGCTGTGGCCTGGACCAGTGGTTCCGCGGAGGCCACGGTTCAGACCATCCTCATCTTCCAGTTGACTCTCTGCAGCCACCACACAGTGGATGATTTTATGATTTTACCTGCAAGGCGCCTGCCCTGATTGAAATCGCCTGTGTGGACACCACCTCCCTACAGAAAACAAGCTCTCTGTAGCAGGTGTCCTCTGCTTGGTTATACCTCCGGGGCTCATTCTGGTCTCCCGAGGCTGCATCGCTAGGAGTGTGTGAGGATGAAGTCCGCCGAAGGCAGGAGGAAAGCATCTGGGACCTGCGGGTTCCCTCTCCTTGTCATGGTTTTATTCTTTGGGACTTCCGTTTCTGTCTCCATGCAGCCCAAGAGCAAGTACACACAGAACCACCGCAGTTTCCTCAGCCTCTTCTCCACCGCAGTGACTCCCTCACTTAATCCTTTGATTTACGCCTTGAGACACGAAGAGGTTAAGTGGGCTCTGAGAAGGTTGCTGGGGAGAGACCCCCTTCGGGGAAATGTGAAATACACTCACGCAAGCCCCCAGAGACCGAGGACTTTCAACATCATCTAATTATGGCTTCTCGCGGCATTTATAAGGATCACAGCTTCATCTCCTAAATAAAATAGCTGTGAATTTTCCTTTCCATGGCATCCTGAAGTTACAACTCCAAATCCTTCTTATCCTCCGTGCCAAAAATGCCATGCCTCTTTTTCTGGTTATTTCGTGAAGATTCTTTGAATAAATAAATAAATATTTATAGGAATGCACATGGGTATCTGAATTACACTTTCATAAATCCTGGATTTCTTGCTCTAGGAATTAACTAATGCCATGCCTGAACAATTATGGTAACTCCAGTGCCTCATCACAAAAGTCAACCTTCCAGCTTCGGGCGGGAGAGCTCTGGTCACAGCTGGGTCAGTCTGGGTCTCCCTGAGGACACGGCTCTGCAGCAGGCTCTCCCTCTGCAGCTTGCCTGAGTGCAAGGGCCCTGAAAACCCACAGCCGCCTGACAGTGTGCCTTCGGCAGGGTGTCCTTGATTCTTGTGCACACAGAAGAGCATCTGGGGTTAAGTACACTCAGGGATTTGTCTGACCTCTCCCACCCACAGAGAAAACCACCGAGGAAAAGGGGCCATGAGACTCAGGAATTCTGTTATGCATGTCTCGTCACCACAGACTCGCTCCCAATCTCCTTTGATCGACCCTTTAATGCTATATCTGAATCTAAGACACATATGCAAACACATTTAAGTACTCTCATTAAATCTGAATATTTAAATCTCACAAAAGTCAGCAGACTTATTTACAAATAAAAATGATTGTCTTTATCATATTTAATATTCCCTTTGATTGATATTGTAACTGCATAGAATTTATAAAAATTTTTTTCTTTATATTGAATATAAAGTTTTTACCCATTCTAGTAACATACTTGAAAATGCTGGTAATTTTTTAAATTTGAAAATATTGGATTTGTTTTCCCTACTTTCACAGTAGTTAGTGATTTACAAAATATTATCAAATCCTTATTGTCTTTAGTTCTAGAGCCTGCTTAGACACGGACATAGACACGGACATAATCACCCCTCTGAAAAGATCTCACACATTAGAAAGAAGCCTGAGCACCAGGGCTGTCCCTTCCCAGCAGAGACACTCTTTGGTCTTTCACTCTTATTTATTTTGGAGAAAGAAGCTGCAGGGAATCGGAATTAATGGAATGAACTTTCCTGGAATTTGTTCCTGCACCAGACCATCCGTACCCAGTGCTGGTCCTTGCTGACGTCTGGGGACAAGCAGCTCCAGCCTCTGATCCTTGGTCTCCACGTGGGTAGAACGACAACAATAGTCCACAGGTAGTTTTTAAGGTCAGACATTAGACAAACATTGAAGGATCTTGAGCTGCCTTTCTATATAGTCAGAATCCGGTAAATGGTGGGTATCCTATGGTTGGTGCTACTCTCAGAGCTGGTGCTGAGGAGAACAAAGTCCAAAGCCTCTTTGAAACCAAATGGCACAGAGTTTGAGGACCAAAGTCAGCAAAGAATTTCTCTCTTATTAACACTCGGGAGTATTGAATAGAGAAGATATGGAGAATAAGTTAATTCATGACAATATAGATATTTAAAACAAATATTAAATGTTCAAGAAGATGCATTTTTGTACTTTTTACATATTTTATTATTATTATGTTCAATTAGCCAATATACAGTACATCATTAGGTTTTTTTTATATTTTTGACTGCTTTCAAAATAGTATATATGTTTTGACAACATAATCTGTCACGAGAAGGGACTTGAGTCTGTGTGTGGATGCGTGTGTGTGTGTGTGTGTGTGTGTGGTTAGCAAAAGGCTAAAATAAAGTAAAATAAATAGGTACATTGTTTATTCCTGCATGGAAGGAATATACATGAAATGAATTTTAATCTTTACATTTTTATATATTTTATAAATTGGCTCTGAAAAGCATTATTATATTTGTTTTAGTAAAAGTGTCCACAATTAAATATTTTAATATTTGTATTATACATAAATTACTTGAATGAGTTGGCCAGTTTTTGTTTTGTTTTGTTTTGCACTGGCTTTATTTGAAGAATACAGATTGAGTTTTCGCTAAAATATGGATATCTGGCAAAACACACATCTTGGTCATTAGTGAATATCACTATTATCCTCTGATAAAATTATCACATTCTTTGATCTTTTTGAGCTAATTGAGATTTATATCTCAAGTAAAACTGCACATCTTTAAGGTGTATAATGTGATGATGTGATACACATTTGCATTGTGAAGTGATTAGCACAAGTTATTAACACACAGTGTCACCTCACAGCAATTGTGTGTGTGGCAAAAACACTTGAGGTCTACTCTCTCAGCACTTGTCATGGGTACAATACAGTATTGTTCCTAGGAAACCTGGCTGTCCATCACACCCAGAGCTTTTCATCATACACAGTGTTTAAGGCACAGACCTTCACTATGTCCTTTTACAGCTCCTACAGGAGTAGCTGCCGGCCCTCATACATGCCAGCACCTCTCTGAGAACCAGGTGCTCACATCCCAGGCAATGCCCTTCAGATGCCTACAGCTCATTTCTCTTCAGAGCAAGTGTGTGGTGGATTTCCAAACACATGGAGTCAGAATTCATTTACACATATGCAAATTTTGTAAATTACATAACAATCCTTTAAATTATTTAGGGTAATCATTCTTAGTTCATTATTCTCCTTTTCTCCTTGAATTTAAATTTCTCCTTTGAATTTAAATTTTCTTTTTAAAAACATTTTCACCATAGAGACTCTTGATAAGAATATCCCACTTTTTTCTTTTAATATTCTGCAACAAATACCTCTGACACGTGTTTACTTTTTTGGGCATGTTTATGTATTTTTATAGTACATGCGACTCACAGAAAGAATTAATTCTATATCATGTAACAATTAAGGTTGAAATGTTTTAAATATTTTTTATGGAAGGAAATAATGTGCTTCATGGAGTTTTAGGGAATTGAGAGTCACGTGGGACCAGAGACCAGGGCAGAGTCGGATGGGATCCTCAAGGGCTAGAAAATGCCTAAGAGTACAGAATGAGAATTGTCCGGATTTCTGAGATATAAACTAGAATCTGTTCAGCAAGCCCAGATGGGCGTTTTTTGTAAAACTGTCTAGTGTTGGACTCACCTATTGAGATGCTTTGGTAGCCAACTCCCTTCCGGAATCTGGCGATCAGAAGTTCAACTGAGAGTACAGAGGTGTCTCCAAAATTACTCTACCATCGTTAAAGAAGGTCCTTACAAAATAGGTTGCAGAGAGCCTTCACTTTCTTTCTTTCTTTACTCTTGGGTTGTGTGTGCATTTTTTCAAAGAACAGATTTTCCTGGTCCTCTGGTATCTATCCAGTCAGAGTCAGAACCTTTCTCTTACCCAGGGTTCTCTGGAGAGCTGCCTTGACCTCCTTGTTCCGTAAACTGTAGATGATGGGATTGAGCATGGACGTCACCACGGTGTAGAACAGAGCTAGGAGTTTATCTGTTCCTGGTGAATGGCTGGCCTTGGGTCTCAAGTAGGTGACAGACCCGGAGCCATAGAAGAGCGTCACAACAAGCAGGTGGGAAGAACAGGTGGAAAGAGCTTTATGGCGGCCTTCAGGGGAGGGCATGATCAGCACGGCAGCCAGGATTCTGCCATAGGAAGCAATGATTAGTAGAAATGGACTGGAAATGCAAAGAATGGCCGCAACAAAGACGGCGGCCTCGTTATGGGATGTATCACCACAGGCAAGAGCCAGGATAGGGGGTAGGTCACAGAAGAAATGGTCTATTTCACAGGGGCCGCAGAAGTTCAAGGAGAAAATGTAGTTGGTCTGGCCCAAGCCTACCATGCAACCCACTCCCCAGGAAGCGACTGCCAGCTGGGCGCACACCCCCCGGCTCATTCGCATTGCATAGTGGAGTGGGGAGCATATGGCCATGTAGCGGTCAAAAGCCATGGCTGCCAAAAGACAGCACTCGCTGATACCAAAAAATGTGAAGAAAAACATCTGCGTAGCACACCCCTCCCGGGAGATGCCCCGGGCCTCACTCACGAGGCTCTGCAGCATCCTGGGTATGACCGAGCACGTGTAGCCAATCTCTAAGAGAGACAGGTTGGTCAGGAAGAAGTACATGGGCATATGGAGGACGGGGTTGGTCCAGATGGCAAGGGCTATGAGGGCATTACCCATGAGGGATGCTAAAAACATAAGTAGGACGAGGGTGAATAAAAGGAAACACTGTTCAGTGACCTCCGAGAACTTGGCAAATACAAAGTGCTTGACAGACAGGCTGTTGTCCTGCCACAGGGAGCAGCTGAGGTTCATGACCTGGGGAAAAGGACAACAAGGAAAGTGTCATTCAGCTATAAGTGCAAATCTCTATATTGCTTTTCCTAAGTCAGAGAGATGCATTTCTGACCGCAATTCCAAAAATCAAAAAGCTTGGAAATTACACCCGTTCTCACAAGTTTACAAACCAAATCCTGTTCCGTGTTCATGAAGCCCGTTTATCTGTTCAAAAATATACCGAGTCACACTGAAAAGAAATTTAAAAAATAAACAAAAATTTTTTAAAAAAGACAAAAACACACCTAGTCATCAAGCATAAAATTGGGGGAAAAATAGCTTAAGCTCAATTCCTTCTTCATTTCTCCCATTAATCGGTTGTCAAATACTGCCAGACAAAGGTTTTCTCACACCTGTCATTTTCTCCCCATTTCTTTTGCCACTGAATTTGTCACACATTCATTCAGCAAGTGTTTTTTGAGCACAAAGTATTCTGCACTTACTACTTCAGGTCCTGAAATTTAACAATAAAAAAACAAAACACAACTCAACATTTCTTCCCAAATGGAACTTATTTAGTGAAGGAAAGCAGAAATTAAATGGGCATTCAATGAATCAAGAATTGCTGTAATTCAGAGCATTAAAGCCAGTGTCCTGGGGACTTGGTGTTGGAAGGGGGCTTGGGGCATGGCGCAGCAGGAGCTCAGGTGTGAGGACCCCCACACCCTCACACCACACTGACCCTGCATGCTGAGGTCCCTGCTCAAGACGACAAACTTCTCTACCTTTCGCACTTGTCATCTGCCAGCCTTTCCTCATCACAGGGTTCTTTGCTAAATGGAAGTTACCACTGCCTTCAAGTTAACATTCAAATGTCTTCATGTGATTCTTGCAAATCCATGGATTGGCTCACCGCCTATTGATAGAAATTTTGATCTTATCCCGTAACCAAAGGACCTCTTAGTACACTATATCCAGCTACACACACTAGCAGCCTTTTGGGTGTGCCTTGCTTGCTTGATTTCCTAGTCTTTGTGCTCATTTTCTTGAAGGGGCTTGACATCTGCCTCCTTGACTGTCCACCTAGTCTCCTGCTCAGTGTGCTCAGATTGCAGGACAGTGTCTTCTCCTCTCTGGAAACTTCTTCCCCACTGCTGCACTGCCTCACCCCCATACTCGGGAGGGAAACCCCTCCACGTGTCCCCACCACTCAGTGACCTCCATGAGAGCACCATCATAGCACTTCAAGGACAACCAATTGTTCATTTCTTCCTGAGCGTAGCCTGGACACAGACATGGAGAGCAGAACTGCATTTCTCAACTTACTTACCATTATACCCACTACACTTAGCAATGAATAGGTTCTCCTGTAACGAGGAAAAGCTGGAACACTAAGCTTTCCTCTGGCTGCCCAAGCATCTGCCCATGGGTGCCGAGTGTGTTTTCTGAAGTTAATTACGATAAAGCTCATCTCCCTCAAATGTCTCAATGTGACAGTTGTCTCTCAACCTAATACCTATGAGTTCCTGACAAAACATTCCTCATTCTTCTTTGTGGGTGTACTGCCATTTGGCTTTTCTTTTGAAATGTCATCAAGCACGAGTCTAAGGAATGTTTGCCATGAAAAGGGCAGACGACGAAGGAGGTTTTGCGTCCACTGCTCTGGACTCTATGTGTTCATCAGCATAACGTGAGACCATGTTTACACTACATTTGTTTAGAACACATCATTGTTTATTCCACAGTAATATTTGATGCAGGTAAATATAACCAAAAAATGTGCTTTTTGAGGTTCCAAGTTACTATGAAAAGACAAATATATTAGGTGCATTCACAAAAGATACATACAAAAACATACATTTTTGCATGTATACATCCATCCGTACACCCACACACAAAAGCACACAGATTCAAATCCGTACTTAGGAGCATCAGAATTAAGAGTATTTTGGAGATATTCTATCTGGGTTCAGATCCTAACACAGCCATCTAATGCTGGGCCAAAGTTAACATTTACTCAAACTATCTGTTTCCTCAATTTTTCCACTTATTAAAGGAGATTATAGTGGTATATTCCTCATGGGGTTGCTGTGAGGATTAAGTGAGTTAATTCCCATAAAAGCACTTAGGAAAACGGTTCAGTACTCAGTAAGTATCAGCCATCGTTGTGCCTGAGTCCATGTGTATGTTACTATAGGTTCACCTCCATATATTCCCGCTTGTGGAATTTCTTTTTCGTCACTGTCCCTAATCATCCCTCTTGATGTTCATCCACTCTTCATGTTTTGCCATGCACATGCCATGATGGAGAGAAGAACAGCAGAAAATACGTACATACATATATACATACATACACACAAGCACAAAAATGCCACCCAAACATTATGTCCTGGGAAAAGATGGTGGTGTCATGGATCATTTGAATCTACTGCTTTGCTGTAATTTACTCTACTGAGCCTTACAAAAGCACCCAAAGTAAAGGATGGGAACAAGGGAACACTGAAAAAATAAAATAAAGTAAAAAAAAAAAAAAAGGAATAATCACAGACATATGAAGGTTATGTATCTATAAGCATAATATAATGTGATCTAACACTTATCCAACAAATATTGCTTGCAACTTTAAGTACCTGTGCCTTGTAATAATATTTGCAATTAAGTTGGAATTAAAAATGTTTTAAATATGGCAAAAAAAAGGATGGGAACAAGTGGAAAAATTCAAAACTGCGAAATATGAAGTAACAACTCTGCATAATGACAGGGATTCCAATACATGTGACTGTTGGAAACCCTGCTCACATGTCACGTAGTAAAGTAGCCATACATATATTAAAGCATTTGTAGGCATCTTCCTGACATAGTAGTTGATTTTAATATGTATGGTTCCCATGAAGTAAGGTAATTCAGGCAAGGCTAAAGCAAAGAAAACAGGTCATGATTGCTTATCTTTTTTTTTATTTTTTGACCCAAAAGATTTTCTTAAACATCCTAACTCTACAGTAGTCAGATTCTCTTCTCCCTCCCTAACAGTCATTTGGCTCGACATGGAAATAGGTAAAATCTGATTTTTGAAATTACACTTGCTATTGTTTTCATGAGTTACTCTCCACTGACCTTAGACTGGGGGGCCTGGGGTCCATGTAGTAGCGACCAGCTTTATGTACATACCAAGAACAATTTATTTTAATCACTGCTATGGAAAGAGTGAGATACTTGAAGCAGGTGCCAGGTGTCTCCAGAAAGAGCATTAAGCCAGTAGAACCACTGGATCTGAACATTGCTTCTGTCCCTCACCTGACATATTTTCTTAACTTAAAGTTTCTGATTCATCATTTCCATGTAAGTGAAGGATGAAGAAGCCCTTCCTGTCTTTCTTGTGTTGGTTAGAGTTAAAAATGCAAACTGTAGAGCCAAATCATGAAGATAAGGTAAGAAATGGCCTTAAAATGCAACTTATCAGCATCAAAACCTCTTGTTTTTTTAAAACACCATGTTAATGAATTCATAGGACACTGCATGGAATATTCTCTATTATTATCAGTATCTATTGTTATAACATGTTATATACAAAATAAAGGTGTATCTTATTAATATAAATGTCCTATATATTATTATCAGTCTATAAAAGTGTCCTATGAAGAGTCCCTGATTAAGCAAATGGCACTGTCATATAATCTGAAGATACAGGAGTTTCATGCTCTATGAGAAATTCTATTTGTAGATTCCTATTCCACGTAATAAAGATTAAGTGGCCTTTGAATGCTGGTGAGATTCTGAAGGTTTACATATTGAGGTGGACTTTCAGTGTAATTTGGATATGTGAGAGAAATAGAGAAATAAGGCAATGTCAAAGACTCAGCTTCATCGGCTTCCTCGCCCAACCCTAAGAGCCAAGACAAGCACTCAGTATGTGATTCTGGCTTGGAAATAACCCAGCACAAGTGATTCATTTTGGGTCATTTCCACACAATTAGATATGTTGCTTGAGTGTCTCAGCCTCTTATTAATCTCTGTTTTCATAACAAATGTTTATTTTTCCTATCAATCAAAGGAAAGCATGATAAATGTTATTGGACACTATAACTGAAACACTACAGGAAACATTTAGTAAATATTAATCCTCATTACTATGAAATTTTCACTTCTGAAATGTCTTTATGTAAATGGCTTATTACAGATTATAGAAATGGTTACCCACTGCTTTCCACAATTTCCCCAGTCACTGCACCTAGGATCTGATAACAAGGTGATGCCTTATCATGATGCAGCGGAAACTATTTTATCATTCGACTGGACTCAGGTGTGCAGGAGAATCCAGGCATTTCCTTCCCTAACGGTAACAGTTCCTATGAAATAATTAATTTAGAACAATTCACAGGAAACTTATGACAGGAATACTGGTAAACTGAGTAAGTTATACTCTTTGGAGAAGGAAAAAACAGCTGATTATGGTTACGGTCAGCATCAAAAAATGCTTCAGGCTCGGCTGTCCATGTTCACGTTGGAATTCACTGTCTTCCACAGCCCCTTTTCTTAAGACATCTCTCGTACCACGTACCTGTAATCCTAACATTTAAGGGAAACACTAGATAGTTGTTGCTTCTGATAAGCCACTCCCTGATTTTCTCTGCTCTGTCCCCTTACCTTACAACCTCTCACACTCCAGATGATGTAAGTCTCCCAGTCCTCTTAGACTCTGCACCTAGAAGCTTTTGTGGTAGTCAGTGCTGCATCCTGTCTCAGGAAGCCTGTGTGTCTCATGGGAGAGCATCACGTAACCTCCAGTCATGCCCGCCATGCTCCCTTCTCCCCTCACCACAGAAGCGTGCAAGGCTGTGCCAATCACTGGGTGATACAGTTGAGCCTTCCTCCTTCCTGAAAAACCCTGGAGTCTGAACATGTTTTATTTCAATTCTTCTTGTTCTGGATTTGTATCCTTCCCCCCTCCCACAGGAGGCACATTTTCTTTTCACTGGAGAGTGTAGGAAGATGTTTGATTCTGTCTATCAATAATTGTCATGGGCAGGTCCGTCTCTCTCTGC